ATTTTTAGATCTTCACTTTTATGGACTTTAAGTTTTGATCGCAAACTATACCGCAACCTCTGTTCGTAGAGTCCTGCTATTTTTATCAAAAACATCTACATTACTTACCCTCTCTTATGAGTTTGCAATCAGTACAATCAATACTCAAATTTAGTACAATTATAACTGTTGAGGTTGAAAATCATTAATGTTACTAAGGAGCATTTTGGTGCTCCTAAATCTCGTATGGGGAAGTAATAAATACTATATAAATTCATAATCATATCAATAAACTTTATTTCATTTGGTTTTGCAAAGCATGTAGTTATTTGGTAGCTCACGAAACTAACAAACTCTAGAGTTATCTGGTGAAGCAAGAAATACCAACACAAATTCATAATAAATCAGCAAAATAAAACGTTGGAACTTGGAAATTTATCACAACCTCACTTGGTGGATCCTCGGCCACTTGCACATAAGGAGGTTGGGACATTCGCGATCCCGATGGTTAAAAGACTTCAAGCAACTGGTGGAGATATATGCTAATTTCTCTGTTTGACATTATGTTTGAGCAACATTTATATCTCCCTGCTAGACAAATTTAATTATTCAAAATAATAAATCCTTTATATTTTCTAATTTGACCGAAAGAGATTTGATACTTGGTTTTGTCGTTATCATTGTTTTCTTGGTCCTTTGTATCTATCAAGAACTTCCTTTTCCCTTGTTCATTTTCAATTACTACGAATTAGAAAACATCATGGTACATATGACGTCTCTAAACTCTAACCTAAATCTTCGTCTATATAAACGATTTGAAAATAGTGAAATACAAAATGTCAACTATACCGAAAATAGATGTGATCAAACTGTGCCCATCGGATTTATCTCTTCAAGAACACAATTCATGATCCAGCCTCCCTCTCTAAAACATAGGTACGAAAAACTAAAGTGATGATCAATGCATACAAATATACTAAAGTAACTACTCGTCATGGTCTTAGTCGAGAAACGAATTTGCACAATGTTCAATCTAAAATGCATGGCTTCTATTTCGATTGATCACCCCTATATGACATCATTCGAATGCATAACAACACAACCTCGTATTTTGAAGAAGCTCATTGTCTCTCTCGTATCATTTCAAGCTTTTTATTTTCACATGTTTTCCTTTCATTTCAAGCAATACAAAATTTCTATAAACGAAGCTATCAATTCATAATGGTATACAAACGAAACTATGAATTCAAAATTGCTAAAAACCAAATGAAGCTATTATATAAAACTAGAAAGTCGTGATCGTTTCCAAATTCTCATTTTTTGATCGAAACATGAGTCATCATCAGATTGCTTACCCGAATTCTAGTTGTTTTAAGCAATTGAGCTAATTCTCTTCTCAACTGTTTGTTCTGAATCTTTTTTGTTCTTCAGTATATTGTGGCGTGATTTCGCTATTTCCAAAGCTGTTTTGCTGCATAAATACCAAAAACTAAATGAAACTAATTCGCATACATCAGATGAAACAATAGAATCAAAATTACTCAGTTCGCAGCCTCAATGAGTGAAGGGAAAAGGGCTACAATGCGAAGATTAAAAGATACAAAGTGAAAAGGATGGAAAATCAGAATCACTCGGAGAATATTTGTTTTTGTCTTCAATTTGTAAAGGACATGGAATCAGCGAGTGAAAGGGGAAGATGATACGATTCGATTGTTGTAGAGAAATCGATTCATGATCAATGAAAAGGAAGGAGAAGATCGTTCCATATAAAGGAAAAGATTGGAACATAAAACCCTAGGAAGAGTAAGAGGCATGAATTATTCCTCTGATTATATATGTATATATAGGATCGGCTTGGTGTGGCAATGATGGAGCCATAAAGCCGATCTAGGATTGTGAGTTTAGGCGTTATAAGGGAGGAAGTGGAACAAAATCGAAGTTTCGAGAGTTAAAGAATTCTCAAGCATATGTATCGTGTTCTCTGTTGATGAATTATGTAACGGTGATTTGAGAATTTGAAGCGTCGAGGCGGCTATATGTCGACAAGGTTTTTGTTTTAAAGATTTGCAGAGAACAACAAAGAAGAAGAATGGGTAGTTTAAATTGGGCTGGACCGGGCAAAAACGTTTGTAATTAGGGCTGGTATTTAGTTTGTAATATGAATTAATCAAAGCAAAAAGGGTATGACATGTCGAAATAAAGCTTTCTTATTGGTTAATTATACTTCTAATTAAGTTTGCCTATGTGGATAACTTTAGAGGCTTAGAAATCTTCTGCTTTTATATAAAGGAGATTATAAATTGGATTAAATAAAAACCATATAACTCAGGTTAAAAGAATAAAAAAAAGTAAATGCAAGAGTAAGACTATGAAATGTATAATCGGTAATAATTTGAATGTTAACCAAATATTTTGAATGCAAGAGTAAGAATGGTTATTGTGGAAGGTGAGTTCCGCACTGAGTATTTGTATGTTAATTCGGAGAAGAAACTTTAGTCCTCAGAAATATCTATAAGCTCAACGATTAAAAGAAGAGTAGAGTGGAGCTGAATTTATATTGATATGAATCGAATATACAATAAGGTCTCGTCTGAGACGTGTTACAAGCTGAAAATGTAGTGTTAAGCTCTCGCGTGTATGAAAAGTTGGTGAAATCTGCTTGGATTTCCTCTATTTATAGCTTAACTCAGCTCCTCGATCCAGCTCCACGTTCCTAGGGCGGTTCCGTTATCTCAGACACGATCTCGACATATTCTCCGTGAATCTCGCTCCTACGACTGAGATAACCGCTCCGTTGACTCGCTCCTAACTCAATCTCAGCTCGTTATTCTCGCGCATGTTGGCTCGGCCCTTTCGGGGCTGACCTGGGGCTTAAGAGAAATAATGTTTAATTCTTCGGGTTTGGGCCGCAGGCCCATCGATTCTTGTCAACGTTCTGCGAATAATAAGCTTTGACCTGGACTTTTAAGTGGGCCAGATTCGGTGACGAATCCAGCCCCAACAATTGTCCACAGCCCATTAAATATATAAATAATAATACTTGATAGGTGACGATTCAATGTTATCTTCTCGAATATCTATC